TTCGTCAGCTTAATGTAGTTCACATGAACGTTCTGCTAGTTTGCAGTTATAAAGCGTAGCCTATTTTCAGTCCACCAAATCGGCCTTTCGTCTGCTTAATGTAGTTCACATCCGAACAGCCGTTCAAGCAAATTTCATAATATAAGTAACGTCTCAACCACTGCTGTGTTTGCTAACCTGATAAGCCCCGGTAATTTACGAATGACTTCGTCGGCACTAGATATGGCAGATATAGTGTGATTGACATGTTATTATTATTATATAATAATCTTATTTAATTCCACTCAAGTTTTTACGATTGAAAGCTGTTGAAATAAAACGTGTTACAGCCTACGTAAATGTGATTGATTACACAGTATTACCTATAATTCAGAAATAAAACATGCTATCCCAAAGAGCAAGTCCCGTCTTCATAATTCCTTCGTGTGCTCTTGTTTTGTAACAGCGGTTTGTTTCTGGTTGGAAATTACTATTGGCTACTTAAAGACATGACTTACATGAACATGCTTACAAACACACTTTTTTTCTACCTAACATGTGTACCATATGGCTGAAATGCAATAAAATGCTTTCCAACTAATCACATGCTACAGTAAAATTACTGTAACTTACGAGTAATAATAATACTTTAAGGAGAATTGCCACGAGTTTGAAACATTAATATGTAGTGAGAAATTCTAAACTGTTGTGTTTCAGTGCCAGTTCCTTCAATGAAACCTTGCGTGACAGAAAGCAATAAAACGGAATTATTGATGTGAGAATTCCTACAATGTGAGTACAAAACGTGAGTCGCAAAGAATCTTAGAGCTAAGTTGTTAGAACAAGAAATAAAATCCATTCCTATTGTATGTTGTTAAAGTGATAAGATCTTCCTTTCTTTGATGTTTTCTGCTGAATTGCTGTTAGTGTTTGGTTTGTTTCGGATATTCGCATATAGATAGCTACATGAAGGTTAACTGTGCTATCCGCCTTTAATAGTGGATTGATGAAACACTGTTGTTGTTTTCATTGTGTAAAACTACACAATGGGCTATCTGTATTCTATACTCCGCGGGGAATCGAATCCCGAATCCTAGCTTCGTAAATTCGTAAAACGACTGCTGATCCATTGTTCATTTTAAGGTGTTAAAGTGCGTGTATGAATGGATTAAATAATGAGAGTTTTGTTTCGCGTATTTTATTAATTCAATGGAAAGTCAAGGCTATGTTACATGATAGAATAATATTCCTGTTATCAACGTATAAACACAGCTGTTAATAACAGAAAGCAAACACTTTATTTTAGTTGCCTTGCACTTTTAGGCCCTTACATCGCATATTTTTACATGATAAGATAAGAGGTGCAAGCTTATCATTGGTCTGATGGCTCACGTCGGAATCGTAATAATAAAAAAAAGGTCGCCATATAATTTTAAATGTTAGGACAGTCTGCATTCGCACGTTGTTTAACACTGTGCTATATCTTTATCGTTCTTTTAAGACACCCGGAATCTTCTAGATTATATGTAAATTGTTCATTATTGCCATTAACTTCCCGTTTGTTTTGTTAAAGACTTGAATATCCTACTTTTTAAGCTAGATAATGGCGGACTTTACGCAGTATACTCTTGCAATGTAGCTTGTTGAATACTGACATAATCTACTAGTATAGTTTGTTAGATACTGACGTAATCTGCTTGTGCAGCTTGTTAGATACGGACGTAATCTGCTTGTACAGCTTGTTAGATACGGACGTAATCTGCTTGTGCACCTTGTTAGATACGGACGTAATCTGCTTGTGCACCTTGTTAGATACGGACGTAATCTGCTTGTGCACCTTGTTAGATACGGACGTAATATGCATGTGCACCTTGTTGGATACTGACGTAATCTACATGTGCACCTTGTTAGATACTGACGTAATCTGCATGTGCACCTTGTTAGATACTGACGTAATCTGCATGTGCACCTTGTTAGATACGGACATAATCTGCATGTGCAGCTTTTTTGAAACTGACGTAATCTGCATGTGCACCTTGTTAGGTACTGACGTAATCTGCATGTGCACCTTGTTAGATACTGACGTAATCCGCTATAATGTGGCTTGTTAAGAAAAAGCGTTTTACTTAAAGTTCCATAAAACGTTATGTCCAATTTTCAGTTTTTTCTCCGAAATACCCAAACAACCAGAATACACCTCAAATGTCTTCTCGTTTTCCATATCGAAGGACACCAGCATATCGTTACAGATCAGACACGATAATTTTAGATAAATTTTGAAATGTAGAGGACTTGTAACAATAATGCAACTGTGGTGATTACGCATTACATTAAGAAGAAATGTGTAAGGAAAGCCTGATTTGGTGTGCATGACCGAATTTCTCCATCAAAACATATACAAAAATACCATCTGTTGGCTGTCGTGTCATTGGGGAAAATAGGCATGTGCGTGCATAGACGTTATAAATTCTATTTTCCCTGCTAAGGCCAGGCTCATGAAGTAAACGTAAACCTCAATTAATCATACAACCAAACCAAAACGATAAAAAAATTGTGAAAAAAAAATCCTAACAAGCAGTAACGTTAAAGTCTACAAGCAAGAAGGAGGGAATATTAGAAGTAAAGATACACTGTACAACTGTATTAAAAGTGTAATCTTGCGTTAACTGTTAAGTTGACCTACACCCATAACAAACCAAACACGTTGTTTTATAGCTTCGTAATAAACGAATAAATATGCAAATTATTTTATCTTTTTAAGAATGTAGTTTTTCATTTTCGTGTAAAAGAAACCTGTGTTTCATTCGAATGAAAACATTTTAACCATGTTTTAAAACATCACTGTAAATTTAAAACTATGATAATTCAAGTTAAAATCTGGCACTGGATGACAGTTTCGTAATACTGCCGTTGTATAGTTTTCGTACTGCTAACTTTTAAGGTTGATTCATAGATTTTGGTATATTAAAACAAACTACTTTTAAGAACGTGATCGGGATAATCTTGATGTAAATACAAGTAAAATAATTGACGATTGTAGAGATTTGACTTTAATTAAAGACTATTCCTGTCTGATTCTAGAGCGTGAAGAAGTTTCAGCTTCTGTATTGAAAGCTTCAATAAAAGAAGCAGAAACAGCGTCTCATTCTACTAGAAACAGGCAGGAGGAGTCCTTAAAATCAAAACGCTTCTATGTCAACTCTGCCTAAAATACTCTTGAAATAACAATTCGGCAACAGTTGTTGAAATTCGCTAACATACCACCATACTTGAAAATATGTTTTTCAAAGTAATATAGGTGAAACTTTCTTCATAGGCGCCATTAATTCACGATTCTAGTAGTTTGAAGTGACATAAAAGCATAAGTAGTTGATTCCTACATTAATCTACAGGTGGCGCTATTTAATCTGATTTGGATTTGTTTTTCAATGAAATTTCATTCTGTTGATTAGATAGCTCAACAGATGGCACGATTAAAGATTTAGCATAGTACGTAAACAAAAATCTTGTATAATGATATTTATGGAGCACCTAATTTTTGTATAAGTTTCTCAAGAGGGGTAATATTTAAACACAGTATGAAATGAACAATATTATGAAATTAGAATACAGTACCTTCAGCAAATTGTGATTGCAAGAAAAAAAAACATGAAATGGTAAGAGAAAACGAGGCGAAAATATACAAGCATGAAGAAGGGAATTTTAGAAGTGAAGATATACTTTGATGTCACATTTTTGTGTCATATTTTCTGGGAGTGTAGTGTTCTAATCATCCTCACTAGCCTGCTGTACCGTTAATTTTTTGAGAACAGGTATTTTTTTTTTATTTGGGAGGTGACTTTGTTAGATATGTCTTCTCTGCTGCCTTAAGGGAAACACCTGTTTATTTAGTACAAATATATAACAGAATATAATCGGGTGGGAAGTTATTAATCATGTATTTACTTGTGTGTTGATGTACAAGTGCACATAAACAAATATATACTACATCAACTCACTCCTTACTTATTTCGGTACAGGCGTATATACATGCTCTCTCTTTATACTTTCTTTGTCAGATTTTTCTAACAGATAATCTTAGGGGTTGGTGATTAAACGTCACGTTTTGGACGATAGACTTCTATCTTGATTTGATGTTCAATTTGCTCCCTCCCCAGGTCGCCCAGCTGTAAGTCAATGAGCTTACAACACACACACACAAAATTAATTTCGATATCCGCGATTTGTGAAAAATGGCTCAGCTCAAATGTGACATAAAGTAATCAACACACAGGATTGTCATCATACATATGACATCAAATCAAGATGCAAATTTATCATTCAGCATGTGGCATCAAAACTTACGTGCAGTGTTGCTTTAACTAATTTATCTTTTTGTTTTTTAATCGTGAATGTGTTTTTTTTAAGTTTTGGTGTAATAAGTAACCTTCGCCAAAAAGGATATGCGTTGTACACGCTATCCCTGAATTAGTCTATTAATTAAACGGTTCGTTAGAATGAGTCCATTGAAACCAATATAAAACAGTAAAGTAACTTTTGTCTTGTAAATATTAAGAAAGGAATATACACTTATCGAAATTTACATGTTGTATTTCTTCATTCATTACATCAGCTTGCGTTATTTTGTAGAAAGAAGCGTAAGGATTTGGACTTCTGGTAAAGCTAGCCAAAACCAGAAAGAGAAATGTTGCCAACAAAGAATAAAAATGTCAGATTTTATGGTTGTGTTCATCCATATCTCAAACCAGGATCCGGATGTGAAGTGTCATTAACCCAACTAGCAATTGTGCTACATTTTTTGGGAAAATGGTATTTTAGTTTTACTCATTAGCTTGTTGTGCCGTTAGTTTTTTCTAGATGAGATTCTTTTTTCTTTTGGGGGGGGGGGTTAAGTTTAGATCTTTCTTATTCTGCTATTTTAAAGGGTAACATCTGTTTATTTAGTACATCAAATACAAAACAAAATATAATTGTGTGTGAAATTACTTATCACGCATTACTTTTTTTTCTATACCACATAGCCGGTCCAGGGGCTTTGACCAAAGCCATAAATCCACAGAACTAAGTGCCACACCTCCATCCAAACTTCTCAGAGGTTTGAGAACTACAGGTGTTAGTTCTTTCATTTGATCCCTTAGTGCCATAGTAATATCCTTGAAGTTGCTGAAAACTGAAATTGTGGATATCGGTATGATGTACTCTAACAAAGCAAAGTAAAAAAATAAAAAAATACGGGTCCTAGATTCATTTTTACCGTACCCTCGAACACTCGAATAATTTCATTATATTCCAAATGGAGTTAAGATATAAAAACGACAATAAAAACAAACACAACATTATATCTAACATCTGTTTCCTGAGTTTAATCAATTTCGGTAGGGCTTATTTAATGTTCTAATTATTAAATTGCATAGAAAAATTCACTACTGTATCATTATTAGTGTAAAATGCTGTGTTCAGTGTCGCCACTGAGACTTCCCGTGTGTTTTTTCCCCTTACAAGAGTCCGCTCTCAAAAGCTCCCTGTTGAACCTATTTAAAGTGTGGTCTAAACATACAAGTTTAATTGACATTTATAAAATGATGTACAGAAGTAAACACGTTATAAGCACGTGCGCGATTACGATTGAGTGTGATTCCCCAAAGTCGTTTTGTGATTACTACTATTCCTGATGTACGCTAGGTTTCAATGTATTATTAAACACCCACGTGAATCAACGGATTTTTGGGCCGTTCAACAACATCAAATATGGATTTCAGAGCTAGTAAGCCGAGTTCAATATATGCAATACCATAAAATATTCCCTGCACCTTAAGCTGTGGATGTGTTATAAAGGTGACAATCAGTTCCTTTAATGTAGATGGTGTATGGAAGGGTAATGTTGATTGGCTACCTTCTTTTTGATCAGTAGTTTAAACTTAAGAGTCGGTGACAGATAGCTTTAGATAGATTGTCTTATTTTCACGGTCATCTTTGGATGTTAAACCACTGGAGCCAATAATGGAAAATATTAATGTACATATAAAAAAGGAGAATTAAAATGGTTTAATAAGGAATCTACTTAAACTTTAAACGAATATCCAGGATATTCGTTGTGTTAAATATAAAACCGTTATTTAGTGTTGAAAAATTATACTACGGAGTCTTTTTCAAAATTCGGGAAGTTGCAGTTTGATTTACAGATACAGTGATGTGTCGCTGTAAGTTAGCTGTGGCGCCATTGGCGACATGTATTAGGTCTATATGTATATATATAATTTATTATACTGCTCTTACTTTCAATAATTACAATTCACTGATTGATTCATCAGTCGAGTATTCTCGCTGTTAGCGACATTTTCAATAATTACAATGTATTGATTCATCAGTCGAGTATTCTCGCTGGTAGCGACATTTTCAATAATTACAATGTATTGATTCATCAGTCGAGTATTCTCGCTGGTAGCGGCATTTTCAATAATTACAATGTATTGATTCCATCAGTCGAGTATTCTCGCTGGTAGCGACATTTTCAATAATTACAATGTATTGATTCATCAGTCGAGTATTCTCGCAGGTAGCGGCATTTTCAATAATTACAATGTATTGATTCATCAGTCGAGTATTCTCGCAGGTAGCGACATTTTCAATTTGTACAATGTATTGATTCATCAGTCGAGTATTCTCGCTGTTAACGACATTTTCAATAAATACAATGTATTGATTCATCAGTCGAGTATTCTCGCTGGTAGCGACATTTTCAATAAATACAATGTATTGATTCATCAGTCGAGTATTCTCGCTGGTAGCGGCATTTTCAATAAATACAATGTATTGATTCATCAGTCGAGT